GATTATGAAGCTATCCCAGTTGAGGCCGGTTTGACAGCTCAACTGACTAATGTTACACCCTCTGATTGTCAGGGGTGTTGGGATTACGATCACTCATAGATACTGCTCAGGAACAACTTATCTTTAATCTATGATCACTGTCATCTCTTTTCATGTATTGTAATTAGTTGCATGTATTGATTCTTACAGTTGCAAGTCGATAGCCTGTTCTTTAAATGTCGGTCGTTGTTAATCGTTGTTTGATATGTTAGACAGGGGTGATCGGTATGTAGATAGGGTGTGGAGTGTTTGGGGTTGAGTAACTTGCTAATTCATTTCAGATATGCTGGCCCTTACAATTTTATTACTTGTACATAATGATGATGAATAATAGTTACAGTTCAGCACATTTGTGAAGCTACCCTTATTATTTTAGTAAGGTTTACTTTTTTTATGTTATCATTGTATCCTAAATGCGTGGATCAATGCTCATGATATCAATCACTGGATTGTCTGGTCCAGACTCGATTATTTACAGGCCAACATCATATAGCTGGAATATTGGTGAGTGCAGTGTTAAACAACAAAGAAACAAACAAAACTATGTTTATGTACAACTTATGACAACATGATGAAATGATGATGATGATGATCATGATGACAGTAAAACTTATTCCATTTAATGTTACACTTCATCAAACCTTGCACACTTATTTCTAAAGTTGATTGGTTAGCATGCTTTCAGTGAATAATTACAACCATCTGGGGGCGGTCGGGTAGCCTAGTGGTTAAAGCGTTCGCTCGTCACGCCGAAGACCCGGGTTCGATTCCCGACATGGGTACATTGTGTGAAGCCCATTTCTGGTGTCCCCCGCCATGATATTGCTGGAATATTGCTATAAGAGGCGTAAAACCATACTCACTCACTTACAACCATCTGAACGAACACCTAAACATGTACTGAGACCTTATTCAAGTTATCTACTTGTGAGGTTACATTTAGAACATATAATCTCAAGTGGCTCACCTGTTTCTGTAGCCATGCACACTAATAGCTTCTGTTAGGACTTGAGTGTAATCTGCTGACATGTCCATGGTGAGGGCCGAGTGGAAACTGAACTATGTGCAGTTAGCCAGGGACTTGTGTTAACTTTGGGGGTGGTGGGGGACCAGTGGGGTAGCCAAGTAGTTCAAGCGTTCACTCATGCCGAAGGCCCGGGTTTGATTCCCCAGTTGGGGACAGTGTGTAAGGATCATTTTATGTCCCTGCCATTCTTGAATATTGTTGATGCGGCATAAAACGCAATTCACTCATGTAGAAATGTCGCCTCCTTGGTCTAATGGTAGAAAGTCCGCCCGAAGAGTGGAAAGGTCCGGGGTTTGATCCCCAGCCACATCATACCAAAAGACGTTTAAAGATGGTACTTGTTGTTACCCTGTCTGGCGCTGGGCATCAAGGGGCTAAAACAAGGACTGGTCGGCTCGGAGTCAGTATACTGTGTCTGAGTGGGGTATTCATGTTAAACTGCGGCATGGTATCTCGGTGTGCTAGCACTATAAATCGGCATCAGTCCGGACTAGTACAAGCAGCCACACACACACACCTACATGTGCATGCACGTTGCTATATAAGTGCAATAATCTTGGACGCGACTTTAAAACCCATTTCACCTCACCTCCATAACACTGGCCATTACGCTTGTGATGAAAACTAGGTAGTTTCTGGTATGATTTAAAGATGAGAAAAGTTTCAATAATAAAGTGTTATTTGGATCTCTAGATGATGTCAGTGAGATGGGTCATGTTCAAATATTTGAATAAACAAAAGTTATAAGGTTGCTGTTGGTTAGAAATATCTCACATTGCTAATACTCAACATTAAACATACAGAATGTCAATGGCGTCCTGGTCATAACCCAGATGTTGAAAGTGAAAATTTACAAGTCCTTGGATTTAAATTCTAAGGCAAGACACTTCAAGGCCTTAGGACCCTCTTGATTTCTAACACTGTATTGACATCTCTGCTGAAATTGAGGTCATGAAAATGTAAGAATAAAAAGTATTGACATTGAATTGTGCAACCTATTTCTCCACCGACCCTGCCCCCATTGTGTCTTTATGTATATTCAAGCTTGTAAGGCACATGGGTGTGATATAGGCTCTTTTCATTCAGACTGTCAGTGTGAAAATATGTGAGCATGGTTTGGTTATGCCTTCAGTGTTGATCAATACTTGTTATAAATTTTTGATGAGTTGAGGCACACCATGTGATAGAATTCACAACAAAATCCAGACAGTAATGAAGAATTCTCCTGGATAAAGACAATTTGTGGTATTGGCATTGCCAAACGACGATAAAACCCAATCCAGGAAGATTTTGTGTCGCGATGTAACTGTAAATTGACATGTTTAGGGAACATCTCATAACCTTTGTGGACATAACACTTCATGCTCCGTCAGTCATAGGAATGATGTAAGAGATAACAGCCGTGGAATACCTGTTACAGTGAATTATCAGGAAGTTAATGAGTCGCCACTGGACGGCCCAGATTTACCCTGACCGAGAGTAATGGATGGGGTTAATGATTGTCGTGGGCAGACATTCGGGTGTTCAGTTTGATGTGGATGTGGAGCTTGTTGGTGGTGATGGCTTCTGTGACAGCCATGTGTTGATGTTGATGGTGCTGTATGATGAAGCTGCTGCTGCTGCTGCTGAGGTTGTGCTAACAGTGTCCACTGGATGAGGATGTTTGTAGAATATGGCTTTTCCAGTATGGAGCAAGTGTAAACACTGCATTCAGGGTAGATATCTTATTGAAGTTTGACTACAATTTTAGAGCTTTGCAACCTTACCAAATTTCTTTTCATGTGGTCAGTTGTCAGTGATGCAAGTTGTTGCCATGAGCTTAGGTATTTCAGTATCTTGGATACTGAAACATCTGGCAGTCGGTAGATGCTCCGTGCTTTCTCCCCAAAGAAAACTGCCTGTGTGGCAGTGTGATGGTGAGGCATTGATTTGACATTGAATTGATATTGATGAGATATTGACTTGACAAAGATCGGGTATTGACTTGACTGATCGGATATTGAATTGACATTAATCAGATATTTACTTGACATTGATGAGATATTGACTTGACATTGATTGGATATTGACTTTACATTTATCGAATATTACTTGACATTGATTGGACATTGACTTGACATTGAACAGATATTAACTTGATATTGATCAGATATTGACTTCACCTTGATCGGATATTGACTTGACATTGATTGAATATTGACTTGAATCTGATCAGAAATTGACTTGACATTAATCAGATATTTACTTGACATTGATCAGATATTGACTTCACATTGATCAGATATTGACTTCACATTGATCAGATATTGACTTGACATTGATTGGATATTGACTTCACATTTATCGAATATTACTTGACATTGATTGGACATTGACTTGACATTGAACAGATATTAACTTGATATTGATCAGATATTGACTTCACCTTGATCGGATATTGACTTGACATTGATTGGATATTGACTTGAATCTGATCAGAAATTGACTTGACATTAATCAGATATTTACTTGACATTGATCAGATATTGACTTCACATTGATCAGATATTGACTTGACATTGATCAGATATTGACTTGACATTGATCAGATATTGACAGGACACTTATGGGCAGTGACTTGATATTCACTTGGACATTGACTGTAAATTGATGGGTTATTCACTGGGACATTGACTGTAAATTGATGGGTTATTCACTGGGACACTGACTGTAAATTGATGGGTTATTCACTGGGACACTGACTGTAAATTGATGGGTTATTCACCGGGACACTGACTGTAAATTGATGGGTTATTCACTTGGACACTAACTGTAAATTGATGGGTTATTCACTGGGACATTGACTGTAAGCAGACATTGTAGATAACTGCAAGACAATGGAGAGCTAGAAGGAGTCTCAGTTGTCTAGCAGGTGCTCTGTCAAATGTTTCATGATGTACAGGTGTGTGCCTCGGGACGACTGCAGTAGTAACAGTTGAATGGCTGATGTTATTATCTAAGAGTCTTCTGACATCAGAGTTTAGTCACACTCCAGGCAGTAAGGTGGTCATATTGGTGTTACCTATGATCTGTTTGCCCAAGGCAGGGGGTAAAATACTGTTCTATTTCCTTCAATTCCTAGTTTTACTACTGTATCATAATTCAAATTTTCATGACCGCCATGTGACTTAAATAAAAGGCTTAATTACATATGTGAGTCCTGGAGGTAGTTGTTATCTCCTGAATCAAATACATGTGCTTTATTATTCATGAATTATTTTACCCATCCAAATGCTTGGGGACTTTTTTATGTAATCACTCAGAGTGCATTATGTTTTTAGTTTTGAAGATGGCAAAGTTTTTGAGATGACCCCTGGGTAAAGATAATACAAATATGTTTTGTATGGGAATTCAAAGGAAATGTAATTTACATTCTGGTTTAAATAAAGGTTATTACCTTGATGCTCCTTTTCGAAACACAGCTTTCAGCGTAACTGATTGCTGTAGGTTTTGATACGACCCCTAAAAGGTGCACTGATGACTGTGATAGCCTTAGGCCTTACACCAATGGCAGGATCAGTTGTTTACAGGGGTAGGCACATTGCCTGCTTAGTTGACGACTGTCATGCAGTAATCACACCAGATCACGATACAGTCGCCTTTCTGATCTAAGCTGCAGGCTTAGCAGTGAAAACCTGGATCACAAACTGTGACTTATCATTACTACCGAGACCATGTTGGACAACATTGGGATAGTGTTTATTTGGCGTTGGCATCGTTTGTGACCATTTCAAGCTTGTTGAATTTTGTTTTGGGAAAAACGTGGAATGAAACATCATGAGAAATGATTGACAGATATGACTGTTTTGCCTGACTACTTGTGCCGTCATAATGGCCAGTATTTTAATGTTTAATGGAAACAATTTTCGGCACAACTTTTCTACTTATCTTCTAGAGCGTCGCCGCTTCACCCATGAAGGAGAGGCATTGCAGAGCCAGTTTGCTGGTTTACGGAGGGAAACCATGGTGATCAGCAAGGACCCCATGACACAGGTATGTGCATTCACAATATGTTCACAACAAACCGTGAGAGTTAACAATTTCATATTTTTAAGTAATTGTTTTGTAGGGTTCTAAGTTTTGCGGAAATTTATATTTTTTATTATATATACATATAATATATATAATTTATATGGTTAAAAGTCTTTCATGGATAAATGCATAGCCTTAACAGAATTGTTGTATCACTGAGGTTTTCTGCTGTAGTATTTATCATGAGAGGGATGTCTTCAGCTTATATACCGTATTCGACGTAATAAGCACCCCGCTCTAATAAGCGCCCACGGCGATATTTGCTAATATATTGGCTGGTGAACAATCCCAATTGACACCCCTTCCGATAGATCAATGTACACAAGACGTATTTATTCTTGTATAATACGTGTGTTATATGCATCCTTAATTATGGGAAGTTAAATTCTGGAAAAATATGTCGTATATAAACATTTCAGGCTGTCAGCACTAACCACGAAATTTAGGATCTTTCAACTCTGTTGTTTTTCTCCAAAATAATATTCTAATAAGAGCCCCATATTAATATTTTGAGAGCGCCCAGGGCGCTTATTATGTCTTATATGTATGTATATAGGATATGCCATTTCTTGTGTCCCTGCCCTGCAGTCACTGTAAAACCCAACTCACTCACTCACTCACTCATTCCTGGGGGCGGTCGAGTAGCCTGTTTTGTATTGTAAATGACGATTGTGATGTAACTACTCGACATGTAAACCTGACACTGAAGAGAGCAGCCAAGAGAAAACAAGTTATGTTCAGTTCAGCTTCTAACTATGTCAATATGATAAACAGGAACCCAAAGGTTACTTAAGCCTTTAACCTCACCTTTTGCTTACAGTAGTGTACTTTTGAGTTTGACATTTTCTCTATTTCATTGCCCGGTTCACCCCAATTATGTTTCTAGGTTTGTCAGCACCATACCTGTGCTCGTTGGTTTCACCGAAGTGGTAAACGTCTAAGACCTGCATCACTTCGGGCTTTCCTCCCACATTAAGCTGACAGGCCGTGATATAACTGGAATACTGTTAAAAGCGGCGTTAAATACAACTCACTCACTCACTCACTCACTCACTATTTTTCATTGACACCATGTCTCTCCTCCTCAGGGTATCTCCTTCATTAATGATGATGATGAGACTAATATTGATGATGATGAAGAATTCTGCCCAGCGTTTTTCTCCACGCACAATAAGTCTCAGTGGGATCTGGTAAGTGTGACTCAGTATTGATACCCGTGGTAGTCTTGGGTAGTGTGTGTACTTCTATGTTATAATAACTTTAGTAATATGAAAGAATTGGATGGTCCTTAACTTTTTTGAGGAGTGTATATTGTCATTTATCCCATGTTTTATGGCAGGCTTTGTCTACTGCTTTGTTCCGCTCATACAGTCAAGTAGGGATTGGCTAGTTGAGAGGGGTCGATGGTTGTGTCTTGTTTATGAGATGACAGGCCACAAGTGTTGGCTGTCCCTGAAAGTATCAAATCTGTGTGGATAAATAGATGAATCTTTATAGGGGATGGTATTACGTTACCAGGTATATACAGTCAAGTAGTCTTTAAAAGGGCTGTCCATTCTTTTGTGTAAGAGTTCAGTCTTACTGATGTGAAAGTTTGAAGGGTTTTGAAACTATGTAACAACTTCTGGTTTATTGCATATAGCACAACTTTTTTGTTCCTTTTTAATCCTGTACATCTGGTTTCATTACCTGTGTGCCATTTGTTATTTATACTGTAAATCTTGATTCAGTCAATTATCTGAGTGCTACTTGTCATCCATTACCTGTTGTTGTTCATGTTAATCTCTGCCTATCACACCATACCATGCATGTATGATCACACCATACCATGCATGTATGATCACACCATACCATGCATATATGATCACACCATACCATGCATATATGATCACACCATACCATGCATGTATGATCACACCATACCATGCATATATGATCACACCATACCATGCATATATGATCACACCATACCATGCATATATGATCACACCATACCATGCATATATGATCACACCATACCATGCATATATGATCACACCATACCATGCATATATGATCACACCATACCATGCATGTATGATCACACCATACCATGCATATATGATCACACCATACCATGCATATATAATCACACCATACCATGCATGTATGATCACACCATACCATGCATATATGATCACACCATACCATGCATATATGATCACACCATACCATGCATATATGATCACACCATACCATGCATATATGATCACACCATACCATGCATGTATGATCACACCATACCATGCATATATGATCACACCATACCATGCATATATAATCACACCATACCATGCATGTATGATCACACCATACCATGCATATATGATCACACCATACCATGCATATATGATCACACCATACCATGCATGTATGATCACACCACACCATGCATATATGATCACACCATACCATGCATATATGATCACACCATACCATGCATATATGATCACACCATACCATGCATGTATGATCACACCATACCATGCATATATGATCACACCATACCATGCATATATGATCACACCATACCATGCATATATGATCACACCATACCATGCATGTATGCCCCTCTTCACTTGGTTGTAGTCATGGTAGCTTGATAACGGTGTAGGAATCTACATCGTAACATCGCTATATACAATAAACCAGAAGTTGTTATCCATAAAGTTTTACATTTTCGTATTTACTCACCAACTTCTAGAATGCCAATCAAACAGTTCTATTGCTTACCAGGTGCAGCAAATATACATGAAACTGTCCCTGTGATTTTCAGATGGCATATGCCTGTATTAGAAATTGCTTCAATTTGAGCTTGATCTCGAAACAGATACACAAATCTTTTCAGTGTCTAAGACAAGTGAAAACTTGTAACAACTAGTAATTTTATCTCCAAATGTAATCGTACAGTTGCATACATTGATATGGGTTGTAGATTCGCTAATGGTGTCCACCCAAGGTCATTGGTCTGACGTTGACCAATGGTTTGTCCAGGCTGTATAACATTACCAGCGCCAAGATAAAGCTCATTTGTTGCTGACAATGAAATTAGTCTACAACTTAGCCACTTGCAGAAGACAGAGTCTAGTAAAACTTATTTTGGTCCAGTCAGCTCATGATAAACCACATTGTAAGACTAATGTTTACCGAACAACTCTCTGAAAGAGAAGTTCAGGCTGATGGAAAGTCTGTTACTGGCACTGACTGTAAACTTACTCCACTGTTGTGTCCCTCAGCCCGATAGCCGCCCGTCATCGCGGAATTCCGACCCTGGAGGACCCAACACCAGCAGCAGCAAGTGGGGCAACAGATTCAGCCTCAACCTCGAACGCAGCCTCAGCTTCGACCTTGACGACACAGATGACCATGATACTGGTTCTGAGACACCTGAGGTCATCTACTACCCACCAAGCGAGGTCGACTCATCTGACACCTACCCAGAGTAAGATTCATCAATCAGGGTGCTCACTGAATGAGATATGTACTGTATTCATTTACAGTTCTGTGTGTAGAGTTGTGTCCCTTTGCCGTGCCAGGATTAGCCACTTGTGAATTTAATCCCTGCTGTTCACGAAGTGTGAGCCATGGATTGTAAGCACCATACCTACTCATGGATTTGACGTAAGTGGTAAACTGACTTTTATTTGGGCTAGCTATCCTCTTCCATACACTGTAATATAACTGAATTACTGTTCATAGCTGTATTCAACCGCCTCCGTGGTCTTGTGGTAGAGCATCCGCCCGGAAAGCGGAAGGTCCGGGGTTCAATCCCTGGCCGCATCATACCAAAAGACGTTAAAAGATGGTACTTGTTGTTACCCTGTCTGGCGCTCGGCATTAAGGGGCTAAAACAAGGACTGGTCGGCTAGGAGTCAGTATACTGTGTCTGAGTGGTGTATTCATGTTCAACTGTGGCATGGTATCTCAGTGAGCTAGCACTATAAATCGGCATCAGTCTGGACTAGTACAAGCAGCCACACAAACACATACACGTGCATGCACGTCGCTATATAAGTGCAATAATCTTGGACGCAACGTTAAACCTAGTTTCACCTCACCTCATAGCTGTATACTACATAACTCACCCACTCATGCACTATCATGCATACTGCAGTAGCCTTCAATGTCAGAAATATTATTTGCCTCTGGTCCTTTGGTCAGCAGCCAGCAGAAATAGCAGAGGGCAAATTTGTATTTGAAATCAGTGGCTGCATGGGCCAATTGATAGTCAAAAATAAGTAGTTTGTGAGCTATTGAAGATGAAGTTCTCCCTGCAATAGCTTTCAGAACACTAGGACACTAGGCTGGCACTCAAATACACCTTTCATAATTCTCAATAGTTCAATGAGCACATTTGTCTACCAGTGTTAAGAAAATGTTTTGCTTGTTGCAATATTGAATGTTTTGCATATAGTTGTGTATGTTGTACCAGTCTTATGAATGAATGTTCCTTGTGTTTCAGCACCTACCAAGTGTTCAACAGTGACCTGCCCCTCAATCGACAGAAGCACCTCTCCAAGAGGTTCGGCATGCTGGAGACTAACATCGACGAAGGTAAGAGGCTGTGAGAGAAGGGGACTTAAGTTTAAGGACTTGTTCCACAAAGCAGTTTAAGTACAGTGACTGTCATAACTTTTAACATAATGTGTGAAACTCATTATTGCTTTGAATACAGGGGCGGTTGGGTAGCCTAGTGGTTAAAGTTTTCGTTCGTCACGCTGAAAAACCCAGTTCGATTCCCCACATACGTAAAATGTGTGTAGCCCATTTCTGGTGTCCCCTGCCATGATATTGCTGGAGTATTGCTAAAAGTGTTGTAAAACCTCACTCACTCACTCACTCACTCACTCACTCACTCACTCACTCACTCACTCACTCACTCACTCACTCACACATAGACTTATGGTGCTGACGTCACTTTGTCAAAAGAGGCCTTGATTATTGCAGGGGAGGTGCATACTCCCTGCCGCCCATTTCCAGATCCACTAATTAGTCATCGCATAGTGGCCGATTATTGTAAATAAATGTTATCAGCAGTTGCTGTGGTTATATACGAAATATCCTGTATATTAGCACCATACCAGTGATAAATGTTTACAGCCAGCATCACATATGGCATTCCTCCAGAATATTGCTTGAATATTGTCGAAACTCACTCACTCTATCGGAATGTTTCAGCCGACTCTGAGAGCACCGATCCCATCTCCCTGGATGATGATGAAAATGATGAGACGCTGATGATGTCCAATCCCAGCACCCCATCAGATCCAGACCGGGAATTCCTGGCCCGGACCCCAGACAAGGTATTGCAGCAAGAGGTTTCAGATTGGTTCATTGGCTGATTGTGGTTCAAAATGTTCGGAAAATATTTTTCGAATGTGGTAATGATGTAGAAGAATGTCAACTATCAGAAGTTGAAAAGCAATGAAACAGCTTCCTAATGCCACTCATCTCTTGGGGGGCCGTGATTCGTTGTGCAGAGTTGCGTCCCTTGGGCATGCCAGAAACCTATGATTGTGGTTCGAATCCCGGTTCGCCCCGATTATGTTTCTAGGTTTGTCAGGACCATACCTCGTGGGTTTAACCGAAGTGGTAAACGTCTGAGTCCTGCATCACTTCGGGCTTTCCTCCCACATTAAACTGACACGCCGTGATATAACTGGAATACTGTTAAAAGCGGCGTTACACCCAACTCACTCACTCACTCATCTCTTGCATAACTCACTGCAGCTGTGTTAGACGCTGTATGGGGTACCTGGGGTTTTCTGTAGAATTTGTAACCTAAGAATACTTCCCATGTAACACAAGGGCCATGACTACAATACTTCGACTCCGTAATTATGAACAATGTACAGCATGGTAGGTAGATATCCATCCGAATTTGAATCTGAAAAATGAAATAAAATATAAAAGAATATTAATAAAAGTGTTGCTGTCCTGGAATCTATTCTTGCCATTATGGATTTATGATTGATGAACAATGTATGACCATATTGATGTAAAGCCGACCACCGAAGGTGCAACTAATGAAGATCCATGACAAGCTCCTAGTGAGGTAATATGTGAGAATATGCCATCCTTTTCAGGAGAAATTTGTCCATGAAAATTTTGAAACAATCAACTTCACGCCGGTGGCGACAGACAAGTTCACCAAGGCCCTGGACTCCCTGGAGCAGGACCTGAACAAGGACGGACCGCACCCATTCAGCCCCCGCCTCAGCATCTCCTCCCGGTTCCTCTCCAGGGCCCACCAGTCCAACATCAAGTGAGTCCCATCCTGTCAGGTCCTCCGATCTTTGTGTAGCAGTAAAAAGAATTTAGATCTGATTTTAATGAAATTGGTCAGTAGGGCTGGCTATCGATATGAATTATAGAGATCGATAATTGCTAACTAAATATCGATCAATTGTTGATATATATCGGATAAGTAACTTTCAGCAAATATGCAAGGAAGTCCCGAAAGAAATCAACAGATTTCACACCACTGGTGAGCAGTGACACGTTTATGCATGGATGACTTTGTGGACATTTGAGATATAACAAAGACAGTTGTTTTCCGTTTTGACAATTGACATTATTGACAATTACAAGTCTGTTTAGGTAGATCTAAACTTTATTTCATCACAATAGTTTATATGAGTTATTATCGATGTCAACAGTTTCATATCGATAATCGTTTATATTTCTTCCCATCAACAATAATTCCGATTATCAATCGTTTGAGCCAGCCCTATTGGTTGGTGGTTCAATGCCCTGGCAGCATCATACCCAAACATGTTAAAAGATAGTACTTGTTGTTACCCTTCCTGCTGGTTAATGAGGGGATAAAACAAGGACTGGCTGGCTTTGAGTCACTATAATGGGTATACAAACAGACATGTGAAGATCCAGGGTAGAATAGGTCTTCAGCAACCCATGCTTGCCGTAACAGGCGACTATCCTTGTCGTAAGAGATGACTAACGGGATCGGGAGGTCAGGCTCGCTGACTTGGTTGATGCATGTCATCGTATCCCAATTGCGTGGATCGATGCTCATGAAGCCAATCACTGGATTGTCTGGTCCAGATTATTTGCATACCACCGTCATATAGCTTGAATATTGCTGAAAACAAACAAACTAACAAAACATGTTGAACAGCAGCATGGTATCTCAGTAGGCCAGCACTAGAAAACTGTCCTAAGTCCAGATTGGTACAAACAGACACAGGCACATGCATGCACGTAATCATGATTCGTGAAACAATCTTGAAACAATGTGACAATAAACCCCCTTTCATCGCAACTCAGACAATAAAGAAGTTGTTAGCCTTTAAAAGTTTCATATATTACCGTATTCGACGTAATAAGCGCCCCGCTCTAATAAGCACCCACGGCGATTTATGCTAATATATGGCCAGTGAACAATCCCAATTAGCACCCCTTCCGATTTATCAATGTACACAAGACTTATTTATTCGTGTATAATATGCACTCGTGTGTTATATGCACCCTTAATTATGGGCAATTAAATTCTGGAAAAAGGTATCTGTCGTATATAAACAGTTCAGACTGTCAGCATAAACCGTGAAATTTATCTTTCAACTCTGTTTTTTCCACCAAAGTAATATTCTAATAAGAGTCCCCTATTTCTAATTTTGAGAGCGTCCTGGGCGCTTATTACGTCGAATACGGTATGTCATTAATCAGGATCTTACCTAATGTTAACATGTGGGGAGGTCTGATTCACTGGCTTGGCTCTCAGCTTACATGATGATTTAGGCTATCCAGGGACCATGGGTCTTTTTAGACGGCTGGACAGTCCTTGCTGTGCTGGACAAAGACGCATGGCAACATCTCCTCTCATCATGAAGATCACACTAACCACCACCCTTGTGTTTTCCAGGAACATGTCCGTGTATAGCAGTATCCAGCGACAGGACAACTGGTTCGATGTGAGTCATCTTACTGTTTGAGTTGTGGGTCAAACATTATTGCTTGTACAAGCATAAATTATTTTAGCTGAAGTGAGGATCTGAGTTAACACTTGCAGCTATGTATTGCTAGCATGTCCATCTCTGAATTATTTCAGTTCTTGCTAACTTCTAATTTTGTTCTGCTGTCACAATTATGAATGTTTGTTTTTTCTAACAATATCACAATCTGATAAATGTCACAACTGAGTTGATTACACATGTTGAGTTTGTATCCACTTCAGACTAACTATTTCAACCATATGCATGTAATATACATTGTTATAAGATAGCGGTGATCATAGCATTTGGAAATAGGAAATTTATAGAATTACATTTTGATTCATGATTTGGTTTCTGCTTGTTCCTTCATAATCTGTTTTAATATTTTTGATAATTTAAGGCTTTCTGACATTGAAAAATTGTTACCTAAAATGGGTGTGTCAACAAAATATAAAACAGTCCTTAGACCAATCTCTCCCACAATGTAAATTACCATAATAAGACAGCCATTTTGAATGACCTTATGAAACGAATGAGTACAAACGGCAAAGTCTGGACATGACACATTCCAATGAATTAGTTGACTTAAATATTAGCCTTGATATTGAAGTAGAAAGTGCTGTTTAATATACAGGTTTTTGCAGTTAAATATGCAGGACCACATGTAAAATTGACTATAAGAGTTATTCATTTTGTGATACATATGTATTGTGGACTATAACAGTTATTCATTGTATATTACATATGTATTGTGGGCTAGAAGAGTTATTCATTGTATATTACATATGTATTGTGGGCTAGAAGAGTTATTCATTGTATATTACATATGTATTGTGGGCTGGAAAAGTTATTCATTGTATATTACATATGTATCATGGGCTAGAAGAGTTATTCATTGTATATTACATATGTATTGTGGGCTAGAAGAGTTATTCATTGTATATTACATATGTATCGTGGGCTAGAAGAGTTATTCATTGTATATTACATATGTATTGTGGGCTGGAAGAGTTATTCATTCTATATTACATATGTATTGTGGGCTAGAAGAGTTATTCATTGTATATTACATATGTATTGTGGGCTAGAAGAGTTATTCATTCTATGTTACATATGTATTGAGGGCTAGAAGAGTTATTCATTGTATATTACATATGTATTGTGGGCTAGAAGAGTTATTCATTCTATGTTACATATGTATTGTGGGCTAGAAGAGTTATTCATTCTATGTTACATATGTATTGTGGGCTAGAAGAGTTATTCATTGTATATTACGTATGTATTGAGGGCTAGAAGAGTTATTCATTGTATGATACATATGTATTGTGGGCTAGAAGAGTTATTCATTGTATATTACCTATGTATTATGGGCTAGAAGAGTTATTCATTGTATATTACGTATGTATGTGGGCTAGAAGAGTTATTCATTGTATATTACGTATGTATTGTGGGCTAGAAGAGTTATTCATTGTATATTACGTATGTATCGTGGGCTAGAAGAGTTATTCATTGTATGTTACATATGTATTGTGGGCTAGAAGAGTTATTCATTGTATGTTACATATGTATTGAGGGCTAGAAGAGTTATTCATTGTATATTACATATGTATTGTGGGCTAGAAGAGTTATTCATTGTATATTACATATGTATCATGGGCTAGAAGAGTTATTCATTGTATATTACATATGTATTGTGGGCTAGAAGAGTTATTCATTCTATATTACATATGTATTGTGGGCTAGAAGAGTTATTCATTGTATATTACGTATGTATTGTGGGCTAGAAGAGTTATTCATTCTATGTTACATATGTATTGAGGGCTAGAAGAGTTATTCATTGTATATTACATATGTATTGTGGGCTAGAAGAGTTATTCATTCTATGTTACATATGTATTGTGGGCTAGAAGAGTTATTCATTGTATGTTACATATGTATTGTGGGCTAGAAGAGTTATTCATTGTATATTACGTATGTATTGAGGGCTAGAAGAGTTATTCATTGTATGATACATATGTATTGTGGGCTAGAAGAGTTATTCATTGTATATTACGTATGTATTGTGGGCTAGAAGAGTTATTCATTGTATATTACGTATGTATTATGGGCTAGAAGAGTTATTCATTGTATATTACGTATGTATTGTGGGCTAGAAGAGTTATTCATTGTATATTACGTATGTATCGTGGGCTAGAAGAGTTATTCATTGTATGTTACATATGTATTGTGGGCTAGAAGAGTTATTCATTGTATGTTACATATGTATTGAGGGCTAGAAGAGTTATTCATTGTATATTACATATGTATTGTGGGCTAGAAGAGTTATTCATTGTATATTACGTATGTATTGAGGGCTAGAAGAGTTATTCATTGTATGATACATATGTATTGTGGGCTAGAAGAGTTATTCATTGTATATTACATATGTATTGTGGGCTAGAAGAGTTATTCATTGTATATTACGTATGTATTGTGGGCTAGAAGAGTTATTCATTGTATATTACGTATGTATTGTGGGCTAGAAGAGTTATTCATTGTATATTACGTATGTATCGTGGGCTAGAAGAGTTATTCATTGTATGTTACATATGTATTGTGGGCTAGAAGAGTTATTCATTGTATGTTACATATGTATTGAGGGCTAGAAGAGTTATTCATTGTATATTACATATGTATTGTGGGCTAGAAGAGTTATTCATTGTATATTACGTATGTATTGAGGGCTAGAAGAGTTATTCATTGTATGATACATATGTATTGTGGGCTAGAAGAGTTATTCATTGTATATTACATATGTATTGTGGGCTAGAAGAGTTATTCATTGTATATTACGTATGTATTGTGGGCTAGAAGAGTTATTCATTGTATATTACGTATGTATTGTGGGCTAGAAGAGTTATTCATTGTATATTACGTATGTATCGTGGGCTAGAAGAGTTATTCATTGTATGTTACATATGTATTGTGGGCTAGAAGAGTTATTCATTGTATGTTACATATGTATTGAGGGCTAGAAGAGTTATTCATTGTATATTACATATGTATTGTGGGCTAGAAGAGTTATTCATTGTATGTTACATATGTATTGTGGACTATAAGAGTTATTCATTGTATATTACATATGTATCGTGGGCTAGAAGAGTTATTCATTGTATGTTACATATGTATTGTGGGCTAGAAGAGTTATTCATTGTATGTTACATATGTATTGTGGACTATAAGAGTTATTCATTGTATATTACATATGTATCGTGGGCTAGAAGAGTTATTCATTGTATATTACATATGTATTGTGGACTATAAGAGTTATTCATTGTATATTACATATGTATCGTGGGCTAGAAGAGTTATTCATTGTATGTTACATATGTATTGTGGGCTAGAAGAGTTATTCATTGTATGTTACATATGTATTGTGGGCTAGAAGAGTTATTCATTGTATATTACATATGTATCATGGGCTAGAAGAGTTATTCATTGTATGTTACATATGTATTGTGGGCTAGAAGAGTTATTCATTGTATATTACGTATGTATCGTGGGCTAGAAGAGTTATTCATTGTATATTACGTATGTATCGTGGGCTAGAAGAGTTATTCATTGTATATTACATATGTATTGTGGATTGCATGTGTTGAACAGTTCTCTCCCATCACCAAGAGTTGTCCAGATCTGTCTCTCCTTCTTGTAAGTCTGACAGAACACACTAGCCAGGTCACTGGATAGGCTGTACAACGTCTCACAACCTCTCCTGGCATATTATTATTAAAGAAAGATGTCATCGGAATGTCTCAAAAATATTCTTATTTATTTGGTTTTATACAACTCATAGTATCTGTAATGGTCTATGAGTTGTCTCTCGGCAACTGAAAAAGGGAGTGTTTTGGGTTCATGATTGTCTTTTTTTGGAAAGAAAACTGCACTTTGGGAGAACTTGAAAAAAAATGTGAAAGAAAATTATGTACAAATTCATCCTCATTTTTAAGGAGGAGACCACGATTAAGTCCTACCTTTGAGTATAGACCTCAGACAATCATGTTCCTAGCATTAGCTTATGTCGCAGACAGGAAATAATGTCATTTTGAGTGTTTTGAGACTGTATTTGTGGCCAAGTTTGAAGTGTAGATTTTCAGGTCCACTTCTTGTTCCTCTCCCCTCCTCCATCTTTCAACAAGCCTGTAGCTGCGTCTGCTGCGATCTGCCAATTCACTGGGATGTCTTTAGTTTCACGTTTGACTGCACCTTTGCCCTTTTTTGTTTCCACCTGGTTTCTAGCCCCTCCAAAAGAGTAAAACGGAAATGGCACGGGCTGTAGATGACACCCGAAAACGCCTCCATGCTGTAAGTAGACGCCCTCTGGTGGCAGCGGGATGCATCACCCGACACGTTCTCATCCAGTTTATGTTGTAGATATCCTCATTTTATTTGTTCCTGTTTTTATATCCTAACAGTGTTCATTGGATTTGATTGATTTAATTACTTATATCTTTTTCTCTCTTTTTTTAAATTCTTTTTTTACATGTTTTTTTGTGTGTGTCTTTTATACATTACTTTTAATGTTACATTTGGTTTTGTCATTCATTTTAAAATATTGATAATATTAATTTTAATATCCTGGATGAGAAATATTTCACAGATTGTAATTCTGTTATGCTCAATATTACCATGCTTTAATAAGTAACATGTCATGCCTATTTGCAGTCTTTTTATTGCCTTGTGTTGCTAATGCTTTTTTTATTCTTGAGTTGGAATTATGTATGTCATTTTTTTCGGCTGATATCTGAAGAAAATATGCAATACAGATTTCAGTTTAGACATCAAGCTTTATCTTAGCTGTTTTAACAGAAGTCTGGATGACCAGTAGGATGTTATATTAATAATAATCATATTAGGAGCCAGCTTTGGTTGCCAGAAGACTTATCTTCAGCCATCCCAATCATCACCAACCATTCAGAGTTGCTTCCCTTGCTGTATAGGAATTGGATCGTGATTAAAATACTCAGCTGTATCAGCTTATGGAGACAAAGCTGATATTCTAAACTTCAATGATATGGCCATTTCCTATTTACAGAGTAAACAGTTTCATAGGAGGATGTCAAAGCAGATATTTATTCAGCTGTATTTATGATAATAGGAAACTGCTTTACCAGGCAATTTTAGTCATACACCAGATACAAACATCTCTGGCACTAAGACATGACAAGAAACCTGGGTCTTGTTTTGAAATTCAATCTTCGCTGATACTCTCCTACTTTGACAAAGGCTTACGACAGTCGTAGCACTAAGGTGATCGTAACTCCCATACTTTAATACAGGCTTACAACAGTCACTGCACTAAGGTGATCGTAACTCCCATACTTTAATATAGGCTTACAACAGTCGTAGCACTAAGGTGATCGTAACTCCCATACTTTAATATAGGCTTACAACAGTCATAGCACTAAGGGGATCGTAACTCCCATACTTTAATACAGGCTTACAACAGTCATAGCACTAAGGGGATCGTAACTCCCATACTTTAACATAGGCTTACGACAGTCGTAGCACTAAGGTGATCATAACTCCCATACTTTAACATAGGCTTACGACAGTCGTAGCGTTAAGATTGCTTTGTGGCACTGAGCTGAGTGATTTGTGTGTGTTTCCAGATGGGATGGAATTCTAACAGTGGAGAATCCCCAGAGAAAGAGCCTGCATCTCCCCCATCACCTCCAACCAAGCTGGAGAGTACAGTGAGTATAGTGGTAGATCACTGAGTGGCGTGTGGAAGTTGGATGTGTAACTGATGCGATCATTGCCTCTGTGGTGCCTTGTGGAGAAAAATTTACATGACGACATGGGTTGGTTATCTGGAGTAGACACAATTGTAGGCATCATTCACGGTTGTTGATGAACTTGAAACACCTTCACCACACTAAAGCAACACCATCTGCTTTTGTAGCTTTTTGGATGTTTGGGTGCATTATGAACTGTTGTAAATGAAAGGATGATTTGTAAGTTTTAGTTCGTCTACCTCCTGTACACCTTCATATTTGTCAGATCTATGTAGTAACTAACAGACCCGTGAAGATCCGGGGTAGAATAGGTCTTCAGCAACCAATGCTTGTCATAAAAGGCGACTATGCTTGCTGTAAGAGGCGACTAACGGAATCGGGTGGTCAAGCTCGCTGACATGGTTAAAGCATGTCATCGATCCCAGTTGCGTGGATCGATGCTCATGATATCAATCACTGGATTGTCTGGTCCAGACTCAATTATTTACAGACCGCCATCATATAGCTGGAATATTGCTGAGTGCAGCGTAAAACAGCAAACCAACCAACACCCAACATTGGGATATCTGTTCATGCTGACAAGCACTGGCTTCCCTTGCCCAGACCTGGTGAAATATTGTTGACTGCAGCATAAAACAGCATTCACGCTCTCACTCACTGAAAGCATTGTTTTCAAGAAATAAGCATATATCCCTTGTTTTCCAGAAGCCTTACTTCCCAATGAACGAAGATTCCAAACTGTCCATTCCAAAACTACCACCAAGTAAGTAACACAGTCATTGCATACTAACAGTTAGGTTTCTGTACAGAGTATATCATCTATTTATTCTGTTTGAATATTTATCCGATTCATAGTCATTCCATGATATTCCAATTATTCTGGAATAGTGTGCATAGTGCTACTCATCTTATGAATATCCATATATTTCCAGCTAATATCTAATTCATTCTGAAGACCTACATAGCTACTTTATGATTTCAAATAGATTTTGTAACCCCATATCTATGTTATGACTTATTCAAATCTAACACATAGGAACATATTCAAAGGCATCTTTGATCAGTAATTATATTACTTGTTATGGAGTCTATAGTTTTTGGTTGCAAGTTGCCATCATGTACAAACACGTATAAGTCCAAACCAATATATTGGCCAGCCTGTACAGAAATTAGGGCTGGGACGAATCCAAATTTACTACCCGGGTACCCAACCCCCTATTACCTGACTCTACCCAGGTACCCACTGTAGGTCTCAAGAGATGTCTTAAAAAGTACCATTGGGAACTTTTTTAGCATAGCCCTGGCAAAACATATTTAGATACATGTATTAAACAATCTGGTCATGCATACACTTAAGTTTACTGCATGAAGTTTTATCTTTATTCAAACATATAAAAGTCAGAAGGAATGGGTGCATAGTCTGAAAGAAAAGTGAACATTTGCGACTTGTCGTGTAACCATAGAGTTCCAGATAATTTTTGTCATTAGACTATGTATCAGGTGACTAACCACAGGTCCGGTAGTCCTGTGGGTACCCAGGTCCTACTCATTACCCACCCGACATGGGTATATGAGTTATCCGTCCCAGCCCTAATTTGATTGTTGCTGTATCATAATGGCAGCAAACACTCTACCCACTGTCACCCTGCTGAGCGTCAACAAGCTGTCCACGAGCTATCCAGGAGATGTCCACTAGGGCTCCATTCCACAAAGTGATCTTTGTGCTATGATGATCATAAGTCTATGTTTACGTATGGAAGTTACGATCACCTTAGCACTGAGATACTTTGTGGAACAGGGCCCTGTAATTCTTTGTCAGACACAAATACATCACCCTATACAGTGTTCCTGTTTACCGGTAATTGATGACTAAAACAGAGCTTATTATTTGTCAGAAATTGATGACTAAAAAGTTAGCTTAGTATTTGTCAGAAATTGATGACTAAAAGTTAGCTTAGTATTTGTCAGAAATTGATGACTAAAAGTTAGCTTAGTATTTGTCAGAAATTGGTGACTAAAAAGTCAGCTTAGTATTTGTCAGAAATTGATGACTAAAAAGTTAGCTTAGTATTTGTCAGAAATTGATGACTAAAAGTTAGCTTAGTATTTGTCAGAAATTGATGACTAAAAGTGAGCTTAGTATTTGTCAGAAATTGGTGACTAAAAAGTTAGCTTAGTATTTGTCAGAAATTGATGACTAAAAAGTTAGCTTAGTATTTGTCAGAAATTGATGACTAAAAGTTAGCTTGTTATTTGTCAGAAATTGGTGACTAAAAGTAAGCTTAGTATTTGTCAGAAATTGATGACTAAATTTCCTCTCCATTTTCCTTCCTCAAGGCCCCTGTGGTTCGCCATCCCCCAAAACTCTGCGACGCTTTTGGTACACTCTTGATTTGCCTAAGCAGCCAATCATGGAAGAGCCAATGCCGCTGCCAAAAATTCCATTACCCCCCAAAATGCAGATTAGGTTGGCAACCATTCCAATTCCTGAACAAAATGGCTGCTCACGATTGCCGAGTTTGATAACTCACAGCCCCAAACAAGTTAGAAAGAGTCGTCTTTCGCCGCTATCCAAGAGGGGTAAATAGCCGGCCACTTTCTGCATGATGTGTGGACGGATTGTGTATTGTGACTTTGTTTGAACCCCCCGGCTTAAACAGCATTTATGTTCTAACTGGTGCTAGAACACTGTGGCACTCTGGGTACATCTCTGAATCGATAGCAACTAAAATGGAATAGTGACCTCTGATGAAGTTTGTGTTTTCGTATAATCATGTGTATCATTAACTTCTGTTGTAAAGTCTGTGGTATAAAAGAGTAGTTGTTTATAACCTGTGAAGAATATGTATTAACAATTATTGCACATAGACAAGAGTTTTTAGCTCACCTGACTGAAAGTCAAATGAGTGTATGCCGTGGCACGTATTTGTTGTTCATCTGGTTGTCGGTCTTTAACTGTTACATTTTAGACATCTGCTCTTAAACTGCAAGGCCTATGGTACTAAAGTTTGCATGGATGATGCCAGCTGTGAAAAGTGCTCACAGAATTCCAATTTTAAACATGGAGGTCACGGTAGCCATATTGAAAATGTTATATTACTCGGCCACATCTGCATGTATGATTATAATATGTTGTTTGTTTGTACTCATTGTCAGTAGTCTAATCAGGAAAGTTGACTTGCTGACACTGACTTGCCACATCTCATCAAGTTGCTTACATAACCCTAAGTAGTCCAGGTATGCCATCCTTATCATGCTACTGTCAGATAAACACTCTTCCAACCTTCCTGGGGCGGTCGGGTAGCCTAGTGGTTAAAGCGTTCTCTCGTCACACCGAAAACCCCGGGTTGGATTCCCAACATGGATACAATGTGTGAAGCCCATTTCTGGTGTCCCCTGCTGTGATATTGCTGGAATATTGCTAAAAGTGGCGTAAAACAATATTTACTCACTCCAACCTTCCTTGTCAACTACAACAACACATGCATCTGTAGTTAAAAAAACAGAGACAGACACGGAGTTAAGTTTTCTTCTCATCGCTTCCTACTCATAAAAAATTATGTGCAATAGTTCTCTCATCAACAGCGTGTCACAAAACTTTCCAGAAGCAATTAAGGCTCTTGTGGGGGGCACGGGTGACCCAGTCTTCTAAGGCGCCTCGAATCGCTGTGCAGAGTTGCGCACCTTCGGACGCGCCAGAAACCTATGATTGTGGGTTCGAATCCCGTTTCGCCCCGATTATGTTTCTAGGTTTGTCAGCACCATACCCGTGCTCGTGAGTTTTACGCCGCAATATAACTGTAATACTGTTTGGCGTTAAACCCAACTCACATACACACACTAAGGCTCTTGTGACCCCAGCTATTGGGTCTCTAAAAGTGGCACACAAAATGCCAATCTGACTTTAAACATGGCTGTCAGTTTCTTCGTAAGTAAGGTGAGCTACAGAGCCATATGGTGCAATGTATTTTCATAATTTTCCTGAACATGAATTTAGTGTTGCCTGTCGATAGAAAGTAAAGTGTGTTCTAAAAAGATGTGGGTTTATTGTATATTAATACACTGACTATCTTGTTTCCATGTGAAATATACTGAAAATTCTAACTTGCTGTGACAGAGATTTCCTGTTTCACTTGCAACCAAATCTTTCCACTGTCGTTTTCGTTTTTAGGAGTGTAGGCTGAAGAAAGGGGTTATTTGATGGCATGATTGAAGAGTTTTGCTCAACTGTTGAAGGAAATCTTTTTTCTATTTCACCCAATTTTTCATTTTGGGGTCAGATGCATGGGTTTTCTATTTTTGTTTGTGTGAGATGTAAGGAAGAGTAAAATGTCTGGTTACAGAACCAAGAATGTTCCATGTATTTTGAAATACAAGAAATATTTAGTTTCTGGAAAATGTTTTGTCAGATTGCAATAGTGTGCTGTCTTGAATTGATATTTTATGAAACAGAGCTGAGTACATGTGTCAGCTGACTAATGATGTCTGGATCCAATGTAGTTGATTGTGACTAACCTTAAATTATTGGGTTTAAAAATAACTGCATGTTCTGATTCATTTGTTTCCCAATTAGAATTTTTTGATAACTTGTAATTGTTATAAGAAGCTTATTTTGTTCCAAATTAATTATTTAGCATTCATCAGCCTACTAGAAAATAGAAAATAATGTATTTTTCCAAAAATCTGTATAACTTACATTTTATGAGAATGAATAAGTAAATTATCAATTTGTAACCTTTTTAATGATTCATATATATCAATTAGAATTATATAAGAAGTGGTTTAAGTTCATAATTTGTGTAAACACGTGTTGGCGACTATTATTCAAATTACTTTGTTTTTGGAAGGGCCGGGTATTTTGTCTTAATTATAGAGTTCATTGTTTCAATGTGTAATATGTAACCGTATTCTCGCTCTCTTCAGCTGGCAGCCCCTGGGAGAACCAAGGAGGGGGTTCACCTGTTAACGACATTCCAAAGACTCAGTCTCCCACCAAGCTGTCCTCTCGGCTTGGCAGCCTCAGTCCCAAACCAAAGGACACTGGAAAGAGATCCCTCTCTCTCCGGTCCAGTTCAACCGGTAGACTCACCGACCTTGACACCAAGACCAATAAATCATCGTCTAAAACTGCATCCTATCTCCGACCAACCCGCAGTTCCAAGGCTAAAATCGCCCGAGCATCCTCATCCTCATCCCTGCCTTCGTCTGATGATGGCTCCCAATCCAGCAGCAGCACAAGCTCCATGACCAAAGCAACTTCTATGCTGAACCTTAGCCAGACCCGAGATCCCCCTACCTCACCCAAGAAGAAGAATTCTCGAAGTGATCGTACCTTGTCCAAGACTGCCTTCTATGCCTCCACACCCAATTTGGCTGTGTGTATGGAAGAGGAGGAGGAAGAAGAGCTGCCAGAGTCATTGTCCAATCTTAAAGGTCTTGCTGACCTGTCCAGGAGTGTTCCGGACATTAACGATATGGATGGATTTAGTTCGTCTACAGAGAGCACGACAAGTGGTGGGGAGAAGCCTAGTTCTAAGGGTGCTTTGTCTGGAGTAAGGAGACTCAAAGACTCCTTATCTCGGAAAGTTGCAAGTGATACAAATCGGCTGAACAGGCGTTCAATGCCCGTGGGTGTGGACTATCTGCATGCAGAGCAGAAGTCCCCAGGCAGTAATCGGAGGTCCGTTTCTCCTTTCAGTGAGAAAAACACTATGCCTCCTCCTCCATCCACCTCTGTAAGCAGATCAAAACATGATGCATTCCTGAAGCGAGCTCAGGCTAAGAGGCGCACAACAGCAGACATGACACTAGATCGTGCAAAAGACATCCTGTTGGGCAAGTCTGGAATTCTTAAGACAAGTATGGAAAGTGTGAACTCTGATGCTCCTGGTAGCAGGAAGACGAGTCTCTCTGGTGGACAATCACAGTCTCATTCTCGGTCTTCCTCTGCATCATCTAATGTGTTCGAGTCGGAGTATGGTTTCACGTCTGCTTCAACACTTGCTACTGTAGAAGATATTGAAAACACTGCTGAGGAGATTCGCCGACAGAGAGCTAACGATGCCAGTCCACATGATCTGCCCGAACGGGATGAGAACACATCTCTACCTAGTAGAACCAAATCACCAATGTCATCTTCATCTCGAAGGTCATCCAATGCAGATGGCTCCAGAGTCTCACCTCGTGTGTTCTCCTCCGACAAGAAAAAGTCTCAGTCGGTTGAGAATCTAAATGATAGTGTCTCTAATTCTCCTAAGGAACAAGATAATGTGTTGCCCAGTGTGAGGGCGAGGGTGGCCCAGTACATGTCTCTAAACAAGTCCACTGAGGACCTAGGTTCCAGTCCCAGACCAAAGGTTTCGCTGAGTGTAAATGTGAATACAGTCTCCTCCCAGTCTCCAGCTGCATCTCCAGTTCCCATGGGCAGACGTCTGTCGGCAGATCTGAAGGTCAGTCCACGCAGTCAGTCAGACACAGGGCTGGGATCAGACACGGACACCGACTCAGAGATCAAACGTCCTGATAAATCCACGTCCCATCCCAGGCTGTCTCTTGTCAATGGAGATCCGAGCATCACCCATAGGTATTGTTGTTGTTGTTGTTGTTGTTTTTGTTGTTGTTGATGTCAACGGAGGATGAGCATCACCCATAGGTGTTGTTGTTGTTGCCACAATTATCAGTATTCCAGCTATATGACGATGGCCTGTAAATAATTGAGTCGGACAGACAATCCACTGATCTTTGTTGTGGGTAATGGTCCTTGCCATCGGGTTACAATGACACACTGTCAACCAAATCACCAAGCCTGGGATTTTGTGGGAATAGGTATTGCTGTTGAATTTAGAAGCGTTTATTTTACTTGATAGTAAAATCATATGTCATTAAAAAGAGGCAGGTGAAAAGATTTAGATAAGATACTATTATGTTTTCTTTATTAAGGAACGAGCCTACCCTGCTGCAAAATTTATGACAAAAAGCTGAATTAAAGCAATGATGTTCCACCACTTTATCATATATTCATTGCCTCATACTTCTAGTTAACTGCTTTGTAAAATCCGCAAAACCTTTCCTTGGAAATATATCTTATGTCAAATTCTCAAAATTTTGCAAACGGAATGTTTTGTTTCAAATGTTAATTAACCCTCTTAAAGAAAGTAGCCGGAAGATGTTTACCAGTAAATTGTATGCTTTACGTAGACATGAAATCTTTGCATTTCAGGGGTCTTTTCTACAAAGCGATCGGAGTGCTAAGGTGCTACTCCCATACTTTCGGAGTGCTAAGGTGGACGTAACTCCCATACTTTAACACAGACGAACACCTGTCGTAGTGCTACGATCGCCTTGTAGAACGAGGCCCAGGGCATTTTTTGTATAGATAACTACATGTGCTATAATGTGTTAGTATACAGAACTTGTGTGTGATCTGCCATGAGCTGAGCTTGATGTTTGTCTTGCTGTTCCAGTGTGTCACTGACTACACCTGTGTCATCCCCTCACGATCATGGAACCTCGCCGACTGTGGCCGATCGTACTGGACTGTCTCTGTCACTCACTGTCAAGACAGATGGTATGTTTTCCTAAAACACACTTGACACTCTATTAAATTAGCTTTAAGCTTGAAGTTTGCTCATACTTAAAGGCAAACAAACTAAAAACTTGACCAGAGGTTGGAAGAGCTTCTATGTTATATTTATGTAATTTTAGTTTGCCTTTTAATTTGAGAGAATCTGAAGATTTTTCAATGTAACTGATATGACGATTGGTTGTTCACAATGGCCGACAATGTGTGACAAGGTAGCCTAAGCATCTGATTTACAAATATTGATCACGATTGATCAGTGGGTGTGACCATTCATTACTGTAATCCCATGCTCATGTTTAAGAGTTACGTGGTTGCATGACTAAGATGGTATGCCTGCTTCAGATGGCAGTGAGTTGGTGATGCCCTTGATTGTGGACTTGAAGGAAATCCTGCAGACGGCCAAGCAAGTGTATGAGAAGGTAACGATTCACCATACAATACCATTATTAATTGGCTGAGATTGACAGGATTTTGTGTGTGTTTGTTATCAGTGTTATGTTCAGCTTGTCATCATCAATGTTCAAGAAAGGGCACACGTGTCCCAGTCCTCCGAAGCACCGGAATTTGTGTGCACGGTTGCATCCTGTCCGTAATTTTGCTTAATAATGGGTTTGAATCCCAGAATCGCCCTGATTATGATCCATGGTTTGTCTTCACTGTGTTTGTAGTCTTTAAGTAAACATGTATGACCTGTGTGACTGTGGGCTTTCCTCACACAATAAGCTAATATACAGTGATCAAATACTGATTGAGGTGCGAGCAGCCCTCTAAATATTCAGGAGTTGGCGTCTGTTTAGGACATGCAGTTGAGTATTGGTTTCCTTTGGGGCTAAAGCTTTCTTTCAGAAATCTCTCGACGCTTGAAAATACCGAGTCGTTTTTGACCAAATAAGGAACTAAACTGCCGGTATTAAGAAAGTACACACCCATGTTTGATGGTGGCTAAATGTGATACAAGAAATGGTGATGGGGAGACACCCTCCATGGTCTAGTGGTAGAGCATCCGCCCGGAGAGCAGAAGGCCCGGGGTTCGATCCCCGACTACGTCATCCCAAAAGACATTAAAAGATGGTACTTGTTGTTACCGTCTGGCGCTCGGCATTAAGGGGCTAAAACAAGGACTGTTTGGCTCAGAGTCAGTATACTGTGTCTGAGTGGGGTATTCATGTTAAACTGCGGCATGGTGTCTCAGTGAGCTAGCACTATAAATCGGCATCAGTCCGGACTAGTACAAACACACACACACGTACATGCACGTCGCTATATAAGTGCAATAATCTTGGACGCGACGTTAAACCCCATTTCACCTCACCTCACCTGGTGATGGGGATGTATTTCATATGGGTATCATAGTGATGCTTTGGACTGTTTTCAGCCAAGTAACATTTTGTTTGCTTTTGGAACTTTTGGCCATATCCAGTTTTCACGTCTGTACTTTCTCTTGACCTGGAGTTTCTTTTTGCCTGAAGATTTTAGTTGATATTGATAGACAGGTACTAATTTTTCCATGGGTATTTTAACCCCAAACGATGTTTATATCCCATGGGTAAGAAGCTTGTTGCCTATTTCATGGAACTTGTTTCTTTAATATTTTACAAATTCATTATTGACATGTTTGGCAGTTTACTTCAGTCTCTATAAGCCTTCAGTGTTTATGTTATCTTTCATGCTCAGTGATGCGTGAAGATCCGGGGTAGAATAGGTCTTCGTTAAAGGCGACTGTGCTTGTCGTAAGAGGCGACTAACTGGATCGGGTGGTCAGGCTTGCTGACTTGGTTGATGCATGTCACTGTGTCCGAATTGCGTGGAATGATGCTCATGATGTCAATCACTGGATTGTCTGTTCCAAACTCGATTATTTACTGACCGCCGTCATATAGCTGGAATATTGCTGCGTGCGGCATTAATTAAACAACAAACAAAGAAAAATCTCATGCTCAGTTGCCCTGTTTCAGTGTAAGACAATGGAAGGAAGCCCCTCGATGTCCGTGCTTCATGATATCTACCAGGAGGCTGCGGAAACATTCACCGAGCTCTGCGAGAAAAGCAAATCTAGCCAATCAAAAGACAAGGAGAAAAAAGAATTATCGGAGAGGGATAAAATGATTGTGAACAGTGTTGTTGATAAATTACAGCCTTCTGTGGATGAGTTGTCACACCGGATGAGTAGACAAATATTTCATGAAGTAATTGGGAGTGTGGTTGCTGAGGCGCAACAGAAATGAAGATGGCCATGCCTTAGTGAATGTGTATCTGTGGATGTGTGCTTCTGTGATGACGCCAGGCGTAGACGTCAGATCTCGTTGGGATGCAATGTTTTTTTGTTTGAGGGTGCTCTAAATACAAGTGCTTATGAGAATGGATTTTTTTTTTTTGTTGAGAAGAGTGGACCATGTTTGACCATCAGAGAAAATCTGCAAGAGGTGATGAATTTGAAAACAAAATTATATGTCTTGTAAATGGAACTTTTAAAGAAAAAACAAGGACACCTTCCCAACACTTCCACGTGTAGATCAGGTCGCAATGGTCGCCCCAAGTTTGACAAGGAACAGATTGTTTCGGGAAAGTGGTCCCCAGTTCGGTACAACAGTGGAAATATATACTTAAGGGAAATTGGGGAAATATGTTTACATCATCTAAATATTTCATATTTCACCAGTTTTGTAAGAGTAAATTTTGATTTATTTATTTTACCATGACCATTGCTTTTGAAGAATTATTACAAATTGACACATACCATATTCGCTGTAATAAGCTCGCCCTGATCAATTTCTAGACCAATCTGTAACTGTAAGTTATCTGTATAAGGGCCCCTAATCAGGCAGAAAATTTACATGACAGTTCATATTTTCTTGTGTATTTTACAGCTTTTTGAAAACACAGCAGTGCAGACTGGGTATTTCATTGTTAAGGAACTATCATCAAATTTTAGTTTTATTAAGTTTGAACTAAGTTTCTTCACAACTACTTGATCTCGGAAAACAAATGTAACTTTTGTATGTCTTTTAAAAGTGTCCCCATTGTCAATTTTCTGAGCTCCCAAAGGCTTGTTACAGCGAATAAGGTTACCGTATATCATGTATTGATTTGTGCTGAGCCTCAGGTAATAGAATTACAATACCATACAGGACCAATACATTTCCACTAGTATACACCAGGGAATTACACCAATAAACAGACCTCTGTATTTTATTTACAGAAATTATTATAATCAGTTCACTTCACTTCCATGGCCGTTGTATTGGTATATTTGAGCACAACCAGACATGCCATACCTATGCTGTGCCCAAATGCATGGAACCAATGCTCCACTGATTTTCACGCGTCTTTATGAATGTTTGTGTGATTGTGAGCCTTGAATCGCGTTGTGCAATGAATAAACGTTGTGTATATACATAGGAAAGTGCTTGCACTGCTGATGGGCAGCTCTAGTGTTGAGATACTGCTGAATTCATATGTGGGAAAAAAGAAATCTCAGTGCATTTATGGGATTATATTGTGACATGTTGTGATTCATCGAGCATTTTGAGGAAGCATTCTTCTGGAGAGAATCATGGTGTCAAATGTGCTTAAATTGACAGTGATTATCAACCTGTCCCCACAGGCTTTGATTTACTTATCCACCTTTGGATTTCATGGATCTTGAATCAAAACGTGACAAATGTGGACAAAGGGCAGATAACTCTTGACTACATGATAGACCAACAGATCACGACTTCATGTTGTTCATAGGATGTATCTATGGAAACCACACATAATATATTGTGCAGGACTAAAACACATATCAAACAATATGTCAAGGATATTGACAGTGAAATGGAGAATTTCATGCAATCATAAAAGGATTTCTGTGAATACTAAGGACCTGTTGTACATATTTCTGCTCTTGGTTATTCTTGCTTCACACAAGTGTACATACTTGTAAGATTAATCATCGTTTCACAAGGATTGTGTTCAGACTTGGTTGTGGCAAAGCTATACACTAATTTTGGTTGTTACTTCAGCACAAACTATTTGCATATTTACAGCAGCTTATTCGTCCTGTATTGATGCTTTTATGGGAGCAGAAAATATTTGCTTTAATCGTACAAATATTTTACAGATATTATTCTTTTGTATTCCCTTTAAGATTAAGATTTTGTTCATAAGGACATGACAGGTGACACTTGACGTTATGCGACTGAAATTATGGCTAGTATTGACTGGAATCTATTTAACAGACTGATGTAAAAGACAATAACTTTAAACAATAATAATATCAATAGGAGGCCAGATTTGATTTGTGGATGAATTTGCCCTAAAATTTGAGAATATATTTCCAAAACCACCTGAGCCAAACACAGAGTTGAGTAAAATATGCATATTTAAATTAGAAAATTGATCAGGCCTTTTAAAACATATTTAAGACAAGTTTTTTGCTTGTACAAAGGGGTTTAGTTCACAACAATTCCCTATGCAGAGTCGCAGCCCTTAACAGTGCCAGGATCTGCTGATCATGGGTTCGAATCCAAGTTTCGACCTGGGTATTATCCTCAGTCTGGCAGAGCCATGGACATATTTGTTAGTTTAAGTGGTAAGCCTCTCTGGCCAACGTCTCTTTGCTCTGTCCTCCTAAAGTGTACAGACATACTACGAGATTACTGAAATGATGAAGCCGCAGAAAACCAACTCATTCACTCTTAGCCTGCAGTTGTGAATAAAACTGTGAAACAATAAATAAGGTTTAAATCTAAAAGAACAGAATTTTCATTTTTGTAAATTTCAACCACTCAATGGGGCATGGGTGGCCCAGTCGTCTAAGACGCCGCGATTCGCTGTGCAGAGTTGCGTCCCTTGGGCACGCCAGAAACCTATGATTGTGGGTTTGAATCCTGGTTCGCCCCGATTATGTTTCTAGGTTTGTCAGCATCATACCCGTGCTCATGGGTTTCACCGAAGTGGTAAACGTCTGAGACCTGCATCACTTCAGGCTTTCCTCCCACATTAAGCTGACACGCCGCGATATAACTGGAAAACTGTTAAAAGCGGCGTTAAACCAAACTCACTCACTCACTCACTCACTCACTCACTCACTCAAAGTACCATGGCAACTGTATCCACTGTAAGTAAGGTCATTTTCATGATTATCGGTCAGTACGAATGTAGCTAGATGCTGACGCTATAAATAATGTCAGCCTGGAGTTCTGGCAGCTCCGACTGATGACAAACATTCCACTTGGCGCATGATCCCATTCAAACTCTTTCAATAAGGGCGGAACTTTAAGATAGTGAGTCTTATTAAAAGTATAATGTCTACAAGTAAAACAAAAGCAGAAGAAGATATGACAATGTTTAAGTTTTGTATCTAACATTTTTAGCATTAATTGTGATATGTTCTAAGAGATACTTTAAATCTTGGTAGGAAGATGTACATATCAATAGTATGGTAACTGGCCTGCGGAATCCAGCTTTGAAATGTGTTATAAGTAGACTTCTTTTAACATTGTGATGCATGTATGTTCCAATCACAAATACTTGGCTGCTGTTTACATAATACAAAAAAAGACTGAAAAATAACGATATTATTATTTGTTTTGGAACATATCAATTAAATTCTATGAATAAGGTTATCCCTATGGCCAGTTTAAGCAATATCATGTGCGAGGACAAAGAGCCTCAGGACATTCATTGGCATTTTTACCTGTCTTGTAATCTAGGTCAGATTGATTTCACATGCATTTAAAGCATTATCAGCATTTGATCATCTTTATCAGCTGTTTAATTCATAGCTTATTTGTTTGCATTTGTATCTTTGTGTTCTGCCCAAACCAAATTGTTATGTTATAAAATTAATTCTGCTGATACCATAGATTTCTTTTGACAAAATATATTTATGTGCAATATGTGACAGTGACATGAGATGCAAGACAGAAATACTGCCAATATTTTAGGTTCAATAGGTTAGACATAGATTAAAATATGAAAAGTAGAATATACTATTGCCACACTACTACTCCTGCTTCTGTGAACAATACAATACTTGAGACGATTATATCATGTATAAATATTCATGACTGATGACGACAAGGCAACATAAAATCAAACAACATATATGTTTCGAGATATTGGTCAAGTCTAATGTGAGAATAATCCCCCCCCCCCAACGTGAAGCTTTGCACTTAAATATGCTAAGTCAATAGCATTGTTTGAATGTTTCTGATCTACAATGAGCAATGCAAGTGTGGCTTCATTGTTGTTGAATCTGACTGTGTCCCTCTTGTTACATGAGATACCTGTAATTGTGACTTCAGTGTGGACATGAAATTTGCTACATGTGATGCCAGTACATGAACATGTGTCTTCATTGTCATCAGATACCATGTGTTGTAGGCCGACAACATAAGAATTGAACATGTGTCTTCATTGTCATCAGATACCATGTGTTGTGGCCAACAACACAACAGTTGAACATGTGTCTTCATTGTCATCAGATACCATGTGTTGTAGGCCGACGACACAAGAATTGAACATGTGTCTTCATTGTTGACAGATACCATGTGTTGTAGGCCGACGACACAAGAATTGAACATGTGTCTTCATTGTCATCAGATACCATGTGTTGTAGGCGACAACACAACAATTGAACATATGACCTCATTGTTGACAGATGTGTTGTGTTGAACAACACCTGTGTTGGTGGTATATGATGCATACACTCCCTCGTGGTGGTTTACTCAATATAAACTGCCTCGATTGGTGGTATATGCTGTAAACATCACCTGTGTTGGTGTTATATGGTGCATACACTGCCTCTATTAGTGGTATATACTGTTCTCACCATCGGTGTTGGTGGTATATGGTGCATATACTGCCTCGTAGTGATGTACTCTGTATACCAATAGGATACACTACTCTATTGGTGGTATATACTGTTCTCACCATCGGTGTTGGTGTTATATGGTGCATACACTGCCTCTATTGGTGGTATATACTGTATACACCACCTGTGTTGGTGGTGTATTGTGCATATACTGTATACCAATGGGATACACTACTGTATTGGTGGTATATACTGTATACACCACCTGTGTTGGTGATATATGGTGCATAGACTGTATACCAATGGGATACACTACTGTATTGGTGGTATATACTGTATACACCACCTGTGTTGGTGATATATGGTGCATACACTATACCAATGGGATACACTACTCTATTGGTGGTATATACTGTATACACCACCTGTGTTGGTGGTATATGGTGCATAGACTGTATACCAATGGGATACACTACTGTTTTGGTGGTATATACTGTATACACCACCTGTGTTAGTGGTATATGGTGCATATACTGTATACCAATGGGATACACTACTGTATTGGTGGTATATACTGTATACACCACCTGTGTTGGTGGTATATGGTGCATACACAGTATACCAATGGGATACACAACTCTATTGGTGGTATCCTCACTTGTGCTTCCATAGTGGAGACGGAGAGATAGAACCACTCTCAGAATCGGTGTAGTAGTCAGTCAACCTAGCTCTTGACTATTAGCTAAACATTAAACTGCATTTGTGTCAAATTTAACTTTAGAATGTTATAGAATCTCATCTTTTGTTATTCAATAACTGTTTCTTCACAGTATGAAATTTGATAGCCATGTACTTGATTTCAAGAAGAAAGTTTACATATCATTACAAGACAAAGTTTTACCTTTAATTTTTTTTAAAATTCAAATTTCAGTGATAGGTCTAATACAAACTGATTTTGCATCTTGTAAGAGGTAATATTATACTTGATCATGCTCCGCAAAATAATCCTTGAAATACAGTGATCATAGTTCTATGTTAAAAGTAAAGCTGTTATGTTTGTCTTAGCGCTATGATTGCTTCGTGCAACAGGGCCCTAGTGAGTAGGTTGAATGACTGCCAATCGCTGATCCACAGAGCCAAATGTACTAGTATGGTTTGTGGAAGAGGGAGCCTTAGACTGAGGCTGCTGTCTCTCTGTCTCCTTCACCCAGACACCCAGGAGACTACCAGGCCAAAACTTTCATACACCAGATTGTTGTATCATGACTTATGTGCTTAAAATAAACATGTATAAAATCTCCTGCAGAAAATAAATCTGTGATATATATCATGTTTTGTTTGTTATACTTTCTTAGTACACTTTGTATATCACTATGAGGGGGATTTCTCACCAGTGAATAATGATTTCACAAATAGACTTGCAATTACTTAAATTACATCATTAACACACAGTGCTCATGCAAAAATATTTTCTGAAAACAAATTCTTTATACATGTTCTCGCTATTAATATATAGTTCCAATTTAAACAAATAATAACTGTGATTTTCTTATGTTTTTCCAAACCGTAAGTTTTTTAATATTTGAGGAAACCTCTGCACCATTGTCTAAATCTACAAAGGCAGAAGTGGAAGCTTATAATTATACCTTGATTTAACCAAATCTTCATATAGGCAGGGGCGGTCGGGTGGCCTAGTGGTTAGAGTGTCATACCGAAGACCAGGGTTCGATGCCGACATTGGTACAATGAATAAAGCCCATTTCTGGTGTGCCCTGCCGTGATATTGGTTGAATATTGCCAAAAGTGGCATAAAACCATTCTCGCTCACACTGCGTATAGCCAAACAGCCTGATGTCCCTGATGCCCCCATTTCACTACCACCACGAATATCCCAAATCGCCCCGAATAGGAAATTTTTCATGTTCGTAGATTAATCTCAATCATTTCTTGAAGTTCTTAAATGAATCCTATTTGATTCCCAAACATTGGTACAGTTCGCGGGAGTTCGTCAAAAGCTTTCGTGGGAGGGTCCCCGAATTGCAATTTCGTGGCTGTATCGTAATCCATTCGTAATTAATTCTTATGTTCCGAAACAGCTTCGTAATCGATTCTTTTACATTCTTTGCTATTCTTAGCGATTCGTGGCTCCAAAAATGTCTTGTCCTCAACCCGAAAACATCCCGAAACAGCCACGAATGTCCCGAGTCAACTACGAATCATGTCAGAAATAAGTAAGAACAGCATTCGTCCTATTCGTTACTTAGTCGTAGGTGATTCTTACAATTCGTGCATGATCCGTACATGAAGCTTGTAATTCGTACATGTTTCTTAACCCATTCCTGGCATTCTTCATATTTTTCAACCTGATTAGCCACGAAAGTTTGCATTATTGGCCGAATCGTCACGATTTTCGAAAGTTTCCGATTCGGGATGATTCGGGATAGTCGTGGTCGTGTGAAAGTGGGGCATTAGAGGTGCCAGAAACGTATGGTTGTTGGTTTGAATCCCAGATTCGGCCTGATTGCCTCTTGGTTTGTCAGCACAACACTTTGACTCTAGGGTCTCACCAAGGTGGAAATTATCTAAGAACTGCATGATAATTGGGATTTCCTACACACCAAGCTGTCGCCAGGATATATGTACAGGTCTTTGCTTGCCGTAAATGGCGACTAACGGGGTCGGGTCGTCAGGCTCGCTTACTCATTGTTAATTTTGACCGGGGAGGAATAGGTCTTCAGCAACCCCTGCTTGCCGTCAAAAGCGGGAAGTAACTGTACTTCATTTAAATGTTAGGTTCTTGAACGTAATACATGTTTTTGTTCAATTTGATCAATGTTTTATCATAACAAATTCATTGACAAAACCCATACTTGGTAACAGGACAGAGCGCCACGCCCTAAAAGTGTGCTTCTATCCGACCAATCAACCAAGGGAGACCACTCATGCCAGACTATTTCTCCCCGTGTATCAGTGGAGATGCTAATTAGGCGTTTCCAAGACGGCCTTCGCAGCCTGTCCTTCCGCAGCAATAAGTGCACCGGTCCCGGCAACCTTAAAGACA